TTTCCCCGCAGGTGCATCGACATCCTGGAGCTGTGGGAGCGCGAGGAGCTGCTGCAGTTCCAGTGCCACACGCTGCGGCTGTACTGCGCCGTGTGCGCGCTGGGCAACAACCGCGTGGCCCACGCGCTCTGCAGCCACGTGGACCAGGCCCAGCTGCTCTTCGCCATCGAGAGCCCCGAGCTGCCGGGCCCGCTGCGGGCCGGCTACTACGACCTGCTGCTGGCCATGCACCTGGACGCGGCGCAGCGCGCCCGCTCCTCCATGAGCGCCGAGTTCATCGTGCCCATCACCGAGGCCACGCGCGCCATCGCGCTCTTCCCCGACGGCGGCCGCTGCCCGGGACCCCCGGGCGTGGGGCCCAGCGTCTGCCTGAGACCCCAGCCCCATTTCTCGGAGCCCTGCTTCATCCGCGCGGCGGGCGGCGACGGGCGGGCGCCGCTCAGCCCGGCCATCCCGCTGGACGAGCTGGGCGCCAAGGCCATGCGCATGCTGGCCGAGGCGGTGGCGGGCGGGGGTCCCCACGCCCGGGACCCCGTGGGGGGAAGCGTGGAGTTCCAGTTGGTGCCCGTGCTCAAGCTGGTGTCGGCGCTGCTGGCGGTGGGAGCGCTGGGCGACGGCGACGTGCGCCGCGTGCTCCGCATGATCGAGCCACGCGTCTTCGGGGACGCGCGCGGCGACGGCGAGGGACGGCGGGAGGAAGGGCAGGAGGAGGAGGAGGAGGAGGAGGGCGTGAAGGCCATCGAGGCTGGCGAGGAGGAGGAGGAGGAGGAGGATGAGGAGGCGAGGAGGAAAAAGGCTATGGAGGCTGGAGAGCTGGAGGAGGAGGAGGAGGAGGAGGAAGAAGTGAGGAGGAGGAAGGCCATCGAGGCTGGAGAGCTGCAGGAGGAGGAGGAGGATGAGGAGGAGGCCAGGAGGACGAAGGCAATTGAGGCCGGGGAGGTGCAGGAGGAGGAGGAAGAGAAGGAGGAAGAGCTGGAGGAGGGGCTGCTGCAGATGAAGCTGCCAGAGTCGGTCAAGCTGCAGGTGAGGGAGGGGGACAGGCGTGGGGGTTGCGTCCCCTCGCTGTCCCCTCTCCGTGTCCACCTCGTGTCCCCTCCCTGGGCTCTCCTTCCCAGTGTCCCTGTCCCCTCCCCAGGGTCCCTGTCCCCATCTCCAGTCCCCAGTGATGTCCTGGGATCCCCAGTCCCCAACCCCACAGTGTCCCCCATGTCCCTGATGTCCCTGATGCCCCCATGTCCCCAACTCCCTGATGTCCCTGATGTCCTTGATGTCCCTGATGTCCCCATGTCCCCAATGTCCCTGATGTCCCCATGTCCCCAATGTCCCCGATGCCCCTGACATCCCCATGTCCCCAATGTCCCCGATGTCCCCGTGTCCCCGCAGATGTGCCACTTGCTGCAGCACCTGTGCAAGCGGGAGTTGCAGCACCGCGTGGAGGTCCCTGTGTCCCTAATGCCCCCATGTTCCCAATGTCCCCAATGTCCCTGATGTCCCCAATGTCCCCAATGTTCCCAATGTCCCCCACGTCCCTGATGTCCCTGACATCCCCATGTCCCCGATTTCCCCAATGTCCCCAATGTCTCTAATGCCCCCAATGTCTCTGATGTCCCCGATGCCCCCATGTTCCCAATGTCCCCCACGTCCCTGATGTCCCTGACATCCCCATGTCCTCGATGTCCCCGATGTCCCTGATGCCCCCATGTTCCCGATGTCCCTGTGTCCCCGATGTCCCTGATGCCCCCAATGCCCCCATGTTCCCAATGTCCCCCACGTCCCTGATGTCCCTGACATCCCCATGTCCCCGATGTCCCCAATGTCCCTAATGCCCCCAATGTCTCTGATGTCCCCGATGTCCCCAATGTCCCTGATGTCCCTGTGTCCCCAATGTCCCTGATCTCCCTGATGTCCCCATGTCCCCAACTCCCTGATGTCCCCGATGTCCTTGATGTCCCTGATGCCCCCATGTCCCCAATGTCCCCGATGTCCCCGTGTCCCCGCAGATGTGCCACCTGCTGCAGCACCTGTGCGAGCGGGAGCTGCAGCACCGCGTGGAGGCCATCGTGGCCTTCTCGGA